ACCCGCACACACATGCTCAGGGAAGGTAGGCCCCAGGCCAACCTTGTGTTCCTCTCTCCTCTCTGGCCCCTGATCTCCCAGTTTGGGGGGAGCTGCCCCCTGCCATGGAGCTGAGCCGGGTCTCCTGTGTGAATTTAAGGGCCTCCCTCCCCAGTTTGTATTTACCCTGAAGGTTGTCTTTGGAGTCATTAGGAGGCGACACTTTGACCTCAGTACTCCCCCAGTTTCTGGCAACTGAGCTTCCCCCTTCCCCCGTCATTTTGTTCCCTCCTGGAGTTTCTGGCCCTTCCCTGTGCTGGAGGGGGGGGGTCTTCTCTGGGAGGCAGCAGGGAGAGGACACCGTGAGCTTGGAGGAAGGCAGCAGGTTTAGGGGGCCTGAGCTGATGGGCAATGGGGTGTGTGTGTGTGTGTGTGTGTGTGTGAGAGAGAGAGAGAGAGAGAGGGACAGACAGACAGACTGACGGGATTCTGAGGCCTGCACAGAACAATCAGGAACTGGGTGAACTAGGCCAGGTCCTGTTCACTGAATCCCTGGGGCAGCCAGACGTGGCCAGCTCAGCATCTCGCCCGCCCTGCTGTCTGCCTGTCGCTGATCTCCTGCCCGGCCAACCCCACATCTTACTGGGGGAAACACTTCCCAAACGTAGTATCATTAAAGAAAGCCACAAAACAAAAAGAAAATCCTTACCTCGTAAGTAAAGGAATTTTATTTGGAGCCTATTTTTATAAACTAAAACGCTAAAAATAAACCCCAGTGCATGGGACTTGAATGGACATGATGTTTCAAAATCTGAAAATTCCACCTCTATTTCCAACATCCCCCGGTTACACTCTGCGTTTGCAGGAAACTTGGAGAGAAGGAATTTTTTAAATTAGTTTGACAATATTGGGGAAATACAATGTACAACTTGACAATGAATGGAAACTTCAGGAAACTGGCCAACAAGCATGTACGCAAACATTCTCTATCCTAGTGCGTGATTGCCAAAATCTGGTGCCAACGTGATTTCTCTTTTTTTGTTTTGTTTCTACAATGGATTTTCTGTTGAAGTTGAGAAAGAAAAACTTTTCATAAAAGTTTTCCAACTTTTGATTTGTTTGACTAAAAATCAATTTTTTTGGTTTAAAAATTGTTCATCCATTCAAGCTTTATACCGCTGACAGGTACTGGTGTAATCAAATGAAATCTTTATGAGAAATACTGGTTTAAAATCATCCTAGCAGAGCAGGATATTTGGAACTCGGAACGCATTGCTCTCCATGACCGTCCGTGTGGCTGG